CAATTTCACTGACGTGAGGAGCAGGCGAGCCGCCTAGTCTTCTACACGTCGGACGATGGGCTGCCGTACGATGGGCAGTGAGCTGAAGATTTAGAGCCTCTCCGGCCCTCCCGGTCACTCTATCTCGTTGAAAAAATGTCTTTCTCTGATCCAGCTGAAAGTCACGCTCACTGAGTCAAGGTGAACGTCTTGACCATAACAATAACACTCGAGCTCACAACTCGAATGACTCGAACTCACAACCCCGTCAGTCCACAGGGTCTGACCATCGTCGAGTCGATCGGCTTTCAAGTATTAAAACTTCCCCGGCGGGCCAATCGCAACCTTTTTTTCTTTTACAGTTTTGTTGCAAGAAAATAGAAAAAAAATTGATCCAGCGGCTCTTCGCGCACTGCATACCATGCTGGGGGAGCGGCAGCCGCTCAAGGCGAAGTGCCATGGCGCGCCGAACGCATCCTGCTCCTCCTGCTCCTCCTGCTCCTCCTGCTCCTCCTGCTCCTCCTGCTCTTCCTGCTCCAACTCTTCTTCCCACACTTCTTACTCCTGCTCCTGCATTTCCTGCTCCTTGCACTCATCATTTTCGAATGCTCCCTCTCGCTCGTTGCAGACTCTTGTCAGGTCCTCCCCTCTCCTGGTCTCCTCGTGCCTCCTGCTCCTGCTAGCAACCACGTGTCTTGTTCTCCTCCCATGGCACAGCGACACCACTGAACTTGATGGCCCTCCCATACCCCTCCTATCATCCTCCCATTGGCATACTGCCAGAAAACGTCATGCCAGTCTTGCAACCAGCCGGGTGCGAGGGCGCCATGGGAGGGCCTACTGGAAGGGGCAGGCGGAGAGAGCAGTGATGAAGATTTTGAAGAAGCTCCATGCTGGCTCTTACACGATTCCGACGCACTTTGGAGCTGTGAAAGTGCAACAGCTCTCGAAGGTACAGGGAGCCATCGGAGGTTCTTTGGTGATTCAGGGAAGGAGGTACGACCGAACGACCCTGCTGACAGCCATCGACACGTTCTACTCCAGTGAGCAGAACCAGCTCCTGGTAGCTCAAGCCATGGAAGAGGAGGCTCTTGAGAAGGACAACGGCGGACAGGGGGAGGGCACGGAAGTCATGGCTGCAGATGCCCTCAAGAGGCTGGAGGCTGGCGACTTGACGTTCGAAGACAACTGGGCGAACGCGGGGGAGAAGTATGTGTCAGATGCTGTTGCTGCAGCCAGCAAGGTTGCAACATACAAGTACATGATCGAGCGAGACCTCGGATACGCTCAGAACGAGCTCACCGCAGCGACTCAGGCGGCCGATGCTGCTAACACTCTGCTGCAGCAGTATCAGTCCACCTATGACGCCATGGTGCAGGCAACTGCGGCTGCTCAGTCTGCTCTTGACTCCGCCAACAGCAAAGTGACAGCTGCTCAAGCAGACCTGACTGCTGCTCAAGCAGCACAGACCGCAGACCAAACGCTACAGACTGACTGCCCCGACTTGGCTTCCGCTCTGGCAACCCTTCAGAGTGCGCAGCAAGCGTACCAAGATGCGCTGTCGGCTGTGACGGATGCCACGGGATCGAGCTGCTCCCCGTCAGGGTTGTCCAACTGCAACACTGTTGCAGATGTCGCCGCTGTGAGCAGCGCAGCAGAGCAGGTCAGCTACGCCGAGGGCAACGTCACGGCGATCGAGGGGAGCTGTGCTTACTATAGCTCCTATAACGCAGCGCAATCCGCCTCCACGATGTCCGTGTCTGCAGCTGAGGCAGCCTTGAGCTCGGCACAGGCGGAGCAGACGGCAGCAGACACAGCACTTCAGACAGCGCAAGCGAACGAGCAAGCAGCCTTGGCGGCAGTGAACGATCAGCAGGCGACTTACAATAAGCTGTTGGCGGTGGAGGCTGTGAAGCAAGACATAGTCAGCAAGTTCCTCCTCGCGCACAAGGCGCTGGCTTGCAGCCCTACGGCCTCAATTCCTGACTACACCGACACGAGTCTCTGCCAGTATCCAAGCGACAACTCCAAGATCACGTATGCCCTCTCGCAGGCCAAGGCGGCTGCGGCTGAAGCTGAGAAGAGAGCGCTGTTAGACGGGCTGCTGCAGGACAAGGCGTTCTGGCAGCAGGCAATCGATGCGTTGGGCGGGAAGCAACCGGCTCTGGATCAAGCAATCTCGTGGTGGGATGCAGCGAAGGCAGAGAAGCAGAATGAAGGACGGTAGAGATTGGTTGCTTGTTGTACTAGTTTCTGTGAAATTTCTTCTTACTACTCTCACACATATCGCCCATGCATGGGAGGGGTCGCTGATCGCAAAACGCTCGGGTTGGGTGGGTGGTTCGTGTAGGACGAGGCAGAGGGGGTGGGTTGAAGCGTGTGATTGGTCTGCGAATCAGCGAGTCTTGTGACCTGAGAGACCAGCGGAGGAACTTCGTTGGCCTGAGAGAGCAGAAAGTGAGGGAGAGACTGCGGGAGGAGAAAACGATACCTGCAGAGAATCCATGGAGGCGAAGGTCGCTGGATACGGCGAGCTCGATCGGTCATTCCCAATGACTGAGCTCGAGAGAGGGGAGAAGCTTGATCGCTGCTGGATGGGAGACTTGAGGGGACTCAGATACTCGCTGCCTGTCACATCGTGAGGGTCAGGTGAATGAGAGAGAGTGACAAGAAGAGAAGGAGGGGGAGGGGGGGGAGGAACTTCAAGAGAACCTTGCTGAGTGTCATCGTCATGAACAAGCAGTAGCAGGAGTCGCATGCAAACCATCAACAAGGAGCGAAGGTCGAGGACGCAGGAGTGAAATCAACAGGCAAAGTCCTCAAAACATGCAACATACCAGCCGTCCGACCCGCAGGGCCCAGCCAGGAATCTCGGTAGCCCAAGGGGGAGTCTTCCCGAGGTGGACTAGAGCGACGGCTATCAGGCGATTCAATGTTACTGACGCTCGAACGGAGCTTGAGCTGCTGCAAGGTATCCTGAAGCCTCCTGGTCTCGGCGACGATGAGACTCATCTCGTTCCTGGCGATTTCTGACTCTCGGACTGCGATCTGCTCGTTCTGCATCATCTGGTCTTGCAACCTGATGATCTCGGCTCTCAATGTATTATTCTCCAGCTGCAATTCCTCATACGTCATCCTGTCATATGTCAGGTTCCGGTCTTGGTAGCTCCGACTTTTGGGATCTTCTCTCGAGTGATAAGATTCCACGATCTCTGCGATCTCCCTCATTGTCTCATCTAATTTACCCAAAACAAGCTTGGTTTGAATCAGCTGATTCTCAAGCCTATCCCTCGTGCCCTTCGATCGGCCGTTCTCCGCAGCCTGTATGCTTGCCCACAATTCGTAAATACGGTCCAACTGCTGCACCGATTCCGCATCTGATTTGCTCGCTAGCGTTGCCCTCAGCGCAGAGAACATCTCGAGAACTTTTCTCGTGTCTTGGATGTTTGACGACGACATCCGGGTCAGTTCAACATTTTTCACCGCACCCTGAGAATGCAGCAAGGTCAGAGAATGCAGGTTCACTTCTTGAACAGCTCTTACATTTGATTTCTTCACGATCAATGACATCATCGTACCAGGTATGTCATCTCCTCGCAGGTATGTTCCCATTCGCAGCGCATCACCTTCCACATGGTGTCCGTCCACATACAGCACCACGTCACCGACGTCAAGCTCGCCTGAAAGCTGAGCTGGACCCCCTGCCATCAAATTTTCTAGATGCAACCAAGTCAATCATGGGACACATTTCCTGCCTGAGTTACCTATCCTACTTCCGGTGAACATGATACCGATCTGCAATTATAAGAATTCAGTCGTGCGCTTTCAGAAGTTCTCAAGACTCACGCTCGAGCGACATTTTCCTGATTCCACCCTCTTCTCATTCCCTATATCATCGAATGGATTTTCATTTAGTAGTTCTTTGGCGTTGGCTATCAGGTTCTTTGACCGTCGCAGATGCACTGAAAGTGAGGCTTCGGGCTGGTTTATTGTATCCTCGGGAACTTGAAACTCATCCTGATAGTAGTAGCGCGACATCCTTCACCTCCTATGTATAGCTTTTTCTTGTTCCGCGAACACGACCGACAGCCCTCCGCCCCTTTTCTGCACCTCCTGCTGCCCCTTCCTGTATCCCTTTCGTCACTTCTTAGATTTTTTTACCATGCACGACACTGCGTCCTCGTATCTCAAATACACTGCTTCTATCCACTGGGTACCATTCTCTGCAAGACCTTATCTTCTCCTTAGCTCCCCTCTCCCCTCCCTAGCTCCATCCCTGCCTGCATCCCTGCCTGCATCCCTGCAATCTCACTCCCTCCCTCCCTCTCCTTGTCTCTCCTTTCTTCTGCCCTCCGTCCTCCTGCCCTGCTGTCTGCAATTCTTCATCGCGCCTGCAGTCGTCAAACTTTCCTCACCCCCCCCCCCACCCCTGTCATAAACCTAAACCACCCCTGTTTACCTATATGACCAAGGGATCCGTAGGAACATAGTCTACAGGTGCTATTAAAGTTGTAGGCTGGTCGGCACCTCGGAACTTCGGGTCCGAGAATCCCGAGCCTCCGGGCCTCGGGTCCTGAGTACCGGCGTCTGCGCCGGACGGTGTCAGGCCCGGCCCGGCCCCCAGCCAGCCGGGCCGCGCAACGGAGTGCGCGGCGCCGCCGGTTGGTCAACGCGGCGGCGGCCGCGACCGGGCCGGACATGCAGAGTCTAGTGACAACCGACATGTAAAGACAAAGACTCCCTTGCCTCAAACAACTCCTCAGTCAGATCTACTCGCTGATGGCAACTCAGATCTACTTATTTTACTAGATCTACTAGTTCTGTACTCAAAGTTAAGTTAAACTTGAATCAGTACGATCTACTAGTACTCTCTGATCATCTCCAACACTGTGACTCCTTCATTTACCACACAGTCGAAAAGATCTCTTTTCGAGGACGAGGATTCGAGCAGCCGTTATTTACCTCGAGATACGCCCCTCCCGCAGCTGAAAAGTCGTAAAGAAAACCTAGCAATCCATCTCCTCCCCCGCTTCAGGCTGCCTGCAGTCCCTCCTGCCCCTGCCCCTGCCCCTGCCCCTGACCCTGACCCTGCCCCTGACCCTGCCCCTGACCCTGCCCCTGCCCTAGTCCTCCCATTGTCTCTCGCTCCTTCTAGAGCAGTGCATCCTTTCTTCGATGCCCGCGAAACCGTCATACGTCCTCGTTGTTCTGCAATCATGTGCGTTGTGGTGTTACCGTTCCGATGCGCTTGACATCATGGGTGCCGGCGCGACATTTCCAAAGGCCCTTTACACTGACGCGATCTTTGCATATCGTTTCGTACAGTCAGATGTCTCGATCACATACTTGGACACTGGATCATGGGGAGGAAAGTCGAGAATCAAAGACGGAGATAAACAGACACCGGACGAGTATGGACAGCCGTACAACATAGACTTTGCTGGCTCAGATTCCCTGCTGTCAAACAGTGATTATGCTTCATATCCTGATCTGCAGATGTATCCTGCCGTTGCTGGGGCAGTAGTTCCCATCTACAACTTGCCTGAGCTCATGGAAGCGAAGATTTCCCTGGTGCTAAAGACGCGGACTGTCGCAAAGATCTTTGCAGGTGAAATCAGGTAATTGATGTGAGACTCTATGTAGATAGCTCATCATGAGTATTATAGGTATTGGAACCACAAGGACATCATTGCTGATAATAGCAACAGTCCCATTTCAAGCAAGGTTCTCCAGGGTCTGAACACAACCATCAAGCTATTTGTGCGCTACGACAAGTCTGGAACAACCGAAATATGGAAGAAGTCTCTTTCAGCAGCCTATCAGAGCTTCAAGACCAGCATAGGCGAAGATTCTTCCAACAAGTGGAACAAAACTGACCCGTCCGTCTACAACATGCGCGAAGGAAATGAGGGAGTGGCTTCCGCAGTCTTGGCCACTCCATACTCCATGGGATACTCAGTGCTGGGGAACGCGCTGGACCTTGAGCTTCCTGTGCCTGAGCTCCTGACCGGCACGTCGTCCAAGCCGGTGGTTGCGAGCACAGAGTCGGTCGAGTTCGCCGTCTCGGAAAAGGACTAGGTAACATCGGCTTTGAGAGCGTCGTCTTGTTAATGAAACCCCTTGCATTGCAGACTTTGGAAACAATGGCGACGACCCGGAGCGGCTGACGGCAGACGTTCACGCGGCTTCTGGATCGCAGGCTTGGCCTATGGTTGGGTACACCTATCTGGTCATGAGGAAGAACACTTTGCGTACCGGAGCATCCTGTGAGCACAGGAAGGCAACGATGAAGCTCTGGAACTGGTTCCATCAGTCAAGCGTCGCGAGAAACCTCGCTCGTATCCATGGATTCTCTCCGCTTCCAGAGATCGTGAGGGCGAAGGTGCTTGCAAGGCTAAGATCAGATATACTCTGTGAAGGCAAAGCCGTGTACTCCAGCGAAGACGAGGAGATCATCTCTGGTTCCATAGTGCCTCTTTTCCTGAGCGCTCTGCACGTGCTGGGACAAGCTTACTCGCAGGTGGATGCCACGGCGCTGGTTCAGGTCGAATGACTTGACGAGTGTTGGTGATGATCTCTCATGCTGAAGGCAGATCAAGAAGAAGTACACCTCGCTGGACGCGTATCAGGAGTCCATCAGTGTTCGCGGCGGCTTTGCTATCGTGCGAACAGGAAGCAACTCAATATGGGCTAGTGATGCAAAGACCGTGATGATCCCATTAGGTGAGAAGGTCTGATGACTTTGAGACCTTGACACCATTTCAACCAGCTGGGCTTGGCTTCGGTCTCATCGTCAACCTCTGTGGGGATGTTCTTACTGCCAAGTCTTGTGCATTTGACAAGCACGAAATCACTGTGACCGGGCAGATGATTACCAAGCTTCTCTCCACAAAGAGCCCCAAGTGGTCCGACCTGGTCGCCTTGGGGGCAGATGGGAAGACTCTCAACGGCGACATGAGCAGCGAGCTCAAGAGCCAAGACATGTACCTGGCCTGCCCGGAAGCGGACTCAGAGACAAGACAGATTGCCACCGACATCCTCAACAAGTACGACAAGACCTTCACCATGGCCTCGTGGCAATGTGCAGCGGAGCTTTCTCTGGCGCAGTTCATGGGCGTCTTGGCTGAGAGGAAGCTGAGCGCTGGGTTCGGTCCCCTCAATGAGCTTCCAAGCACTGTGAAAGTCGCCAAGTTCCAGGACGCGGAGGGGTCGGTAGGCTACTCGGTGGATGCGGTCTTGAAGTGCGCGAGCCAGAAGGCGCTGCAGGGGGATGGGTCCTACGTGCTCTCCTCCGGCTCAGTGGCAGACGGATGCTATCCCCTCTCCGAAGCCTTTAACGTGCTCGCCCTTATGGACAAAACGAGCGACGTCAATCCGATGCACGACTGTTCCTCCAAGGACCAGGCTTATTCCAGCGCCTTCTTCATGGGCTGGATGTTCGGCCACCCATCAGCCGTGGGGAGTTCACCCACATCGATTACGCGGCGCCTCTGCAGAAGGCTGGACTCGCTCCCATCGGCTTCCAGCCGTCGGTTGAGGCGCATGCGGAGCTGGAGAAGTTGCGATGCGACGGCAAGAGCATCTTAAACCCTCCCAAGGCCTCGTCGAGCTTGACAAGCTACGTGACAGCAGGAACTGCTGGGGCTGTCATGCTCCTCGTCATGTTGTCTTCTGCCTGGGCTTTCAAGAGCGGCAAGCTTGACTTCGACAAACTCGTTGCCACGCTTTTCTCTGAGGAAGTGTGCCTGGTCGGTGACATCCTGATCAACCTCGGAGACATCACCTCCTTCACTGTCTGCTTCTCAAACCTGGTGCTTGTACGCGACGAGCTCGTGGACCTGATCCCCGTCTGCATTCTCTTCATCGTGTTAGGCTGGATCTCAACATTGCACAACCTTCGTCTGACCGTAAGGCACTTCCAGTACATCATCATCCAGAAGAACCAGAAGCACCACCTGCGCTTCATCAACAAGCATGCAGAGGCAGCGGCAAATTCTTCTCTCCGCAGGTCAAACTCAATGTTTTCATCGTTCTCGAGCAAGGTGAACCCGGAAGAAGCAAAGGTGCAAGACGAGCAGAAGGAAGTTGTCTTGAAGAAGCTCTCTGAAGCTTTTTCGATGATCCGATCAAACTCGCTCGAAGTCCATAAGCCATCGCAACTGGATGTTATAGACACATTGCAACGCGCGCGAGAGAGGCTTCGGTCGGACTTGTTCTTGATCATGGTTGAAGCGTTACCTACCATGTGCATCTCACTGACCATCTCTCTCGCTCTGACGGATGGGGTCTCCATGCTCAGCATCGTCTCTCTTATCCTCTCCACCGCTGTGTTCGGAGCCAAATCGTCTGGCCTCGCCTCTTATCCGACCGTCGTGGCTGACCTGAAGAGAGAACAGGAGCGGCTGCATGCTGACGTCATCCAGAAGGTCCTAACGGAAGTGTACAGCCCTAACAGCGACCTCCTCAAGCAGTCTGACGATGACAAGATCGTCCAGGTGCTTGCAACTCATGACGGGAATGCAGCAATGAGACAAGGTTGGGATGAAACCTCATGACATCAAATTCAACGAAAAACTCAACAATTATGTGCTTTACCATGCTGTTTTGTCTGTCTCGTATCAGCCCTATCGCCGGCTTTTTCTCTCAATCCGTGTTTGTTGTAAAATATTGAATAATTATTACCCAAGATGGATCATTCTGCTTAGTTTGGTTCACGATTGTCGAAATCAACTCTCAATTTTCAAGTAGGTGTGATTACTTTATCTGAAAATAAGTGAATAGTGAAGGTTCAGAGGTCAAAACACCCTTAAAATCTCTCTAAGAAAAACCTTTGACGTTGCAAGATTTCCTCAGTTCTTTTGAGTCTAGCTGATACATGTTCAAAGGGGAAGTGAAGTGAAGGTATTCTGATGTGATGGTGTGCCTGTGTTTATCTTGCTGTTGTTTCTTTGATATCTTCGAACTTCCTTAAACAGTCAATTTGTTGTCTTGCAGTATTGACATCTACCAACCTCCTTATGATACACTGACTGTAAGACATGAAGTAATTTCTGTCTGAAGACGT